ATACATGAGTTGTGCCAAACAATCCATGGCCGATAGCGAGGGGCTTTAGAGGTTTAGAAAAGCAGTTAGGTTGATGAGTAACATGATGTTGACCTGGTTGCATGTAACAACCCAAAGCACAGGTTGAGTGTCGGTTGTCAATACTTATGAACCTTGTACTATGTTTTAACAATGGGTTTTTGACCCAATGCAGAGCTTACAACCAGATGAGAAACCATGGCTTCTCTTCTTCCTGGCTTGTTTGCAGGTAACAATCTATAGTTAAACCATACTGCTGGGTTCACATAAAGCAACCCATGATTCATTGACAATACATACTCTGGATTGTTGTGACATGAGAACAAGGCTGGAATGACACTTTCTGAAGTCTTCCTGTTCATGACCTGAAACTGGATTTGGTAGTATGGGTATCTGTGGAGAAATGCAGGCACTCAAGGCAGCTTTTTCTTCTGCTCTTTCCTGGCATGAACTCTACTTGGGGATGATGCTTTAGGTGTCGCAGGCTTATGTGAATGTTTCAACTTAGCTGCCTTTGGTTTCCAGAGGAAGACAGATATAGTATTGCTCCCCACACCAAGTCGGACAATGAAGAGGGGTGAGGAGAAACGGGTGAAGCACATGGAGCAGGATCTCTTTACCTTTTCCTGCTGTTTGCATGTCTTCGCCTTCATTTTGCTACAAGCAAAATGGGTGAGGGGCTGGGTAATCTGTTTGTCTTTAGGAAGAAAATCCCCCTTTAAAGGCCACTCTCCTCACTGCCTTGGCAAAGCCTGGGGCAGCAAAACAAGCTACTAGGACTTCTGCCTGCCCAGAGGTGGAGATCCTTTAAGTCAGGAGTGTTGAACTCTGTTCAGCCTGAGGGTCAAATTCTTTTTCAGAAAAGCTCTTTGGGGGTTCCTTTCCACTGATGAGTGGACCTGAAGGTAAAAAGGGCAGGGCCATAATTGAAAAATGTAAACATAGTGTAGCTTACTGCTCTGACTGCTAGCAGCAGAGCCCTAAGAGGAAGAACTGCATAAAAGCCAGGAAACTGCCAAACAATGGGTGGTCAGGGGAAGGCAGCATAGCTATCTGGAAACCCCTCAAGGGCCACACTGGGACCCCAAGAAGGGTTGATTTGACCCCTGCTTTAAAACATGGGGCAAAATAGGTTTGACTGACATAGTAGCACTCAGCTGTATTCTAGGCCAAGTGGCAGGGTCTGTGTTTCCAACTTGGCATGTACTGGGAATTAGCGAAATAAAAGTATCTCAGCCCATAGACCGCAAATGGGGAAATGGCTTCTTGGCTTAACACAACCTATGTTGCTGCCAGAAGTGCAGTCACTGTTGGTGTCTATTGAGAGGATGAGGCATGAGGGTTCTCTCTCCCCTAACTACCTGCATGCAGTGCAGACGCGCCCAGGTAAGAATACCCCCCACCCAAAAAAAAAGGAAGAAACTGCAGTGGCTAACCTTGCTGAAGATTTCCTACATTCTACTGTTCATGCATGTAGGAAGCTGCAACTATGTTCCTTTCCGATATGAACCAGAGTACAAATCTCTACCTGAGACTTTTCAAGTAATTAGAAAATAGTGATTGTTGTTTTTGCATGACTTGTGTATTGCATCTGTAGTGATACTTCTTTGGCTGCATGCCAAATAATGCTTTGTCTTCCTATTTGTAGATCATGGATAACTTCTTGATTCAGGTGATGGGAAAGAAAAAAGTTGTACTCTACAGTCCCCGTGATGTACCGTATTTATACTTATCAGGTAGGGAGGCACTTTTTTTTAGGGGTGGGCAGCTTACCACTTCATAAAAAAATTCTGTGGGATCACACCAAAGGTCCGTCTAACATTGTGTTCGGTTCTTTTATTTATTACATTTATATAATGCCTTTCTGGAACCAAGCAAAGTGGTTAACAGTCATTTGAAAACAGGCATGATAAACCAAAACAGAATAAACTGTTAAAAATGATTGCAAATTTAAATTTAAACCATGTAAATTTAGAGAACCCAATTTTAAAAATTTCCTACGATTCTGGGAAATCCACAAAGCAGACATAAAGGACCTGGCTCCTCCTGTTGTTAATTCCCAGCAACTGGAACACAGATACATACTGCCTCTGAAATCAGAAAAAGCACCTGGATGTGTTTCGTAGTAATTTAGAGACCCCCTCTTCATTAATTTGTTTCATCCCTTCTTGATGCCATCCAATCTAGTGCTTGTCACTACAAGCTGTGACAGCTAGTTCTGTCAAATTAATGGTGCCTTGTATGAAAACTACTGGTCATTATCAGTGCATTATCAATAACTCTAGTTCTATGGAGGAGAATAACCGTTTGTGATTTTGTTGACACGATACATAATCTTAATCTCTGTCATGTTCCCTTGATTCAGTGTTCCCCCTATAAACTAAAAAGACCAATTGTTGTAACCTTTTCTCACACAGTTGTTCCAGCCCTTTAATCATGTTAATTCTGTTCTGTGTGCTTTCTGCCTCTGCAATAGTCCTTTAGAAGAGTGACTGAAACTGTACAGGGTATGCACAGTGAGTGGACCATGCACTTGTAACTGAGTGTTGCTTTTGATCCCTTTTCTAGAATAAATCTAAACGTGGAGTTTTCCTTTTTCAGTGCTGCTGCACACAGGGCTAACATTTTCATTGAGGCAGAGTACTGTGAAGTTATAGTGCTTAGTGCTTACATGTCCACACGATCACTTTCCTAGTCACAATCATTCCGAATCCAGGATTAGGATTATTCATTTTATGTGCATCACTTTACAAAAATTAATGTTGAATTTTCATTGTTGCCCATTCACCCAGTTTGGAAAAATCCTTTTAAACTCTTTGCAACCCACTTGGCTTTTACCATCCTGAATAGCTTAGTGCCATTTGTGAATTTGCTCACTTCAGTACTTACCTCTTATTCCCGATCCTTTATGAACAGGTTAAATAGCATTGGGCCAAACAAATCCTTTAAGGAATACGCTTTCATTGTGAAAACTGTTATTTAACAAAATAATGATCTACGAGAGAATCAGGCAAGTTGCTTACCTGTGAATGTTCTTCAAGTGGTCATCCATGTATTTACATAGATGACCACTCCACCTGGGGGTGAACAGATGGTCTTCTGCTAATTGGGGAAAGGGCGGGCACTCTGGCCATTTATACTATGGGGGGGTGGGTGCATAGAGTTCCCACCAAAACCATTAATGCTTGTAAATTTTCCCAGCAACAGGCACTGCACAGGCACAGCAGCCATAATGTGTGATGGACGGAGATCACAATGAAGAATGTTCTGGTCTCAATACTGCCAAAATTGCTTAGGGACCTTTGAATAAGGGACACCGATACATGATTTCTGGAAATCTAAACAGACAGTGCACTGATTCACACATAACATTAATTCACAGATTGTTTAACCAATGAATTGAGCAAGGGAATGAGTGCAATGCCTCTTGTGTAGTTGGCACGTCTTTTACTCATCTTTAATCAACCCAGGAATACCCTTTTCCTGGGTTAATGTGGCATCTGAATCTGGAATTCTGGGTTGTTGTAGGGTTACACACACTGCCTTTTAATTAAGCCACCATGGTTAATGGCAGCATTCTTTGATCATGTGTGTTTTGTACACTGCTTTGATTTTGGTAGTGTTTTGCTTGTACAAACCGGGCCTCTGTTTCTAGTATTTCTAGGACTGCAAGGAAAGACTGCTTTACTCATGTTGATGAACTCTACATTTTTATACCACCATAGTTGAATGTGATTCAGCAATATTGAATAGCTGCAAATATTACTCAGGACCATGAATTGTTGTCAGCAGTCCTGCAGGAAGGGATCGTGTGCTCTCTTTCCAGTGGAAGGCCTGCATATTGTGTTGGCAATCTGGATACTACTGTTGCTTAACAGAAGCAATACTGTTCATTTAAATCTATTAGGTTCAAAGTCAGAGGTGCTAGATGTGGATAAGCCAGACTTGAAGAAATATCCTCTCTTTGTCAAGGCCAGACGTTATGAATGTGAGCTGAAGGCTGGAGATGTCTTGTTCATTCCTGGTAAGTGAACGCAGTTACCTCTTTTTCCTTTTCTTCTTGGATTATTATTTGTCTCCCCAAAGGTGGGGAGACAAGATCATTTCTGCCATGAAGGACACTGGGATGCTGGCTGGAGGACTGAGGGGGAAGGAGGGAGAGAACAAGCCACAGAAGGCTGATTACCTGTTGCATGGTCTATTCGCAAGGTGGCCTTGGGTGAAGTCTGAATGCCCCTGTAGGGTATGTTGCAGCTTTGAAAGTAAGTCACACATTATTCCAGGTGCTGGTTTGCTAGGGTGCAGCTCCTAAACTGGCTGCCTAAGGCCTCAATGGCAGAAGCAGTGGGGTTCTCCAGTGGCATAAGTAGAAACACAAAGAAATGATTTCAAAAAATTTCAAAATCTGGATGATTCATTTTAGTTTTATATTAGTATAACCAAACATCTGTGCATATGAACCAGGATGCACCTTCTTGAGTCATCATTTTTAACTTTCTTCACTTTGCAACAAAACAAGACCTGTTGCAGTGTGCAGTGGCTGTCATAGGATCTTCCTGCTGATTCTGACTACTTGAGATTGGAGATAGCTGTTCTTGCTGATATTGACTGAATGCCTCCCTCATGCCTCCTGTTACTGTTGGATGAAGAGAAGGCATCCGATAGGATCCAATACAGTGTCTAATAGCTACAGTAGAGAAGATGGATTTCCCAAAGGAATGTATGACTTGTATTGCAGCCTTTACAAATCTGTCCAATGCCAGAGAGGTATCAGAAGTAGCCAGACAAACAAAAAATACACAATCATACAGGTGCCAGTTCATTTTATGCTAATGTTTTGGAGAATACTTCCTTCCTAAAATGCATACTGCAATTTTATACAATTATAGCCCATAAATTAAAATTGTGTTGTACAGCCCATAAATTAAAATTGTGTTGTACAAGAGGTAGCAACTACAACCATCCCAAAGAAAAAGAAATGCAAGAAAGCAAAATGGCTCTCTGAGGAAGCTTTACAAATAGCTGAGGAAGGAGGGGAAGCGAAAGGCAAGGGAGAAAGATACACCCAGTCGAACGCAGAATGCCTTCTTAAATGCACAGTGCAAAGAAATAGAAGAAAACAATAGAATAGGGAGGACCAGAGATCTCTTCAAGAAAAATGGAGATATGCAGGGAACGTTTCATGCAAAGACGGGCATGATAAAGGACCAAAATAGCAGGGACCTAACAGAGGCGGAAGAGATTAAGAAGAGGTGGCAAGATTACACAGAAGAACTATACAAGAAAGAGCTTAACGTCCCTGATAACCACGACGGGGGTGGTCAGTGACCTCGAGCCAGACATCCTGGAACGTGAAGTCAAAAGGGCCTTAGGAAGTCTGAGCAAGAACAAAGCTAGAGGAGGTGACAGCATTCCAGCTGAGCTATTCAAAATCCTAAAAGACGATGCAGTAAAAGTGCTACACTCAATATGCCAGCGACTTTGGAAAACTCAGCAGTGGCCACGGGATTGGAAAAGGTCAGTTTACATTCCCATCCGAAAGAAGAGCAATGCCAAAGAATGTTCAAACTACCGCACCATTGCACTCGTTTCACATGCTAGCAAAGTGATGCTCAAAATCCTACAAGCTAGGCTCCAGCAGTATGTGGACTGAGAACTGCCAGAACTACAGGCAGGATTTCGAAGAGGCAGAGGAACTAGAGATCAAATTGCCAACATACGCTGGATCATGGAGAAAGCTGGGGAGTTCCAGAAAAACATATACTTCTGCTTCATTGACTATGCTAAAGCCTTTGATTGTGTGGATCACAACAAATTGTGGCAAGTTCTTAAAGAGATGGGAGTACCAGACCATCTTATTTGTCCCTTAAGAAACCTATATGTGGGTCAAGAAGCAACAGTGAGAACTGGACACGGAACAACTGATTGGTTCAAAATTGAGAAAGGAGTTTGGCAAGGCTGGATACTGTCGCCCTGCCTATTTAACTTGTATGCAGAGCACATCATGAGAAAGGCGGGGCTGGATGAATCACCAGTTGGAATTAAGATTGCTGGGAGAAATATCAACAACCTCAGATATGCAGATGATACCACTCTCATGACAGAAAGTGAAGAAGAACTAAAGAGCCTCTTGATGCGGGTGAAGGAGGAGAGCGCAAAAGTTGGCTTGAAACTCAACATTAAGAAAACTAAGATCATGGCATCCGGTCCTCTCACTTCCTGGCAAATAGATGGGAAAGAAATGGAGGTAGTGACAGATGTTATTTTCCTGGGCTCCAAGATCACCGCAGATGGGAACTGCAGCCAAGAAATTAAAAGACGCTTGCTCCTGGGGAGGAAAGCTATGGCAAATCTGGACTGCATACGATCATAAGGAAGGCTGAGCGTCGAAGGATTGAGGCCTTTGAATTGTGGTGCTGGAGGAGACTTATGCAAGTCCCTTGGACCGCATGGCAATCAAACTGGTCAGTCCTAGAGATCAACCGTGACTGCTCTTTAGAAGGCCAGATACTGAAGATGAAACTCAAATACTTTGGCCACCTAATGAGAAGGAAGGACTCCCTGGAGAAGAGCCTGATGCTGGGAACAATAAATGGCAAAAGAAGAAGGGGACGACAGAGAATGAGGTGGCTAGATGGAGTCACTGAAGCAGTTGGAGTGAGCTTAAGTGAACTCCGGGGGATGGTGGAGGGCAGGAAGGCCTGGAGGAATGTTGTCCACGGGGTTGCGATAGGTCGGACACGACTTCGCGACTAATAACAACAACAAATTAAAATTGTGGCAATCACAGAACATGGCTGACTAGATTTCAAATGAGGATACTCCAACTTAATCAGCATATTACATTCCACCTTCATTTGAAAACTTTCTAGTCACTCCCACGAATAATTGTGACACCTACCTACAGCTTGAACTATTGTTTTGTGACTTGGCTAGTTTGTAGCGGTAGTGGGAGCAGCTAAAACCTGGTTTATTGACTAAACTGGAATCTTTGGGTCCTGGTCTAAACTTCACCTACTCAAAACTACCATTTTGAAAGATATCATTCCTCCAAACTTAGGTTTGACCAAATTAAAGTGGAATCTGGAGCTTACAGTGAGTATAAGAGCAGCTCAGTGGAACCATGCATTGACCACAATTGCAGTAATGGATGTGAGCACTGTTGTATATACAAAATACAACTGTTTCAATAAAAGGCTAACAGCATACACCCCAGCCAGTGATTTATTATTTCATGTTTGTTGGAGTGCACATTGTATAGGCTTTCTATATAGGCTGTATTGTTCACAAAGGTTCACACTGAGTCAGAACGCCTGGTTACTCCCATGGAGCTGATTTTCATTTATTATCCTTATTCAGAACAGTGTGAGGTTGGGCACCAGAGGCCACAGAGAAATAGTAAAAATTCAGCTTTCCTTTCCTGAATTAGTCTCTAGTTAATGGAAGAAACCTCCACTCAATCCAACTCACTTTTATGAACAGAATCTGCCCTTCTATTTGCAAAATAGCAAACCTAAAAGGGCCTTAAGTTTGATTGATTCATACATTGTGGTCTCTACTGTAGAAAATCTCAGGTTCTACAGGATTATACAAACATTCTGTGCTTTACAATTAACATTTAGATATAAAATTTTGAAGGCATTTATATAGGAGTCTCAGGACCAAAATTACTGGTTGGTAGCCATTAAAAAGGTTAAGTGGAATTTGAGGTAAATAGGTTGGGACACTTAGAACATTGCAGCAATCTTACAGTAATTTCAGTGATTTAGTATTTGTAAAACATACTTTTTCAAGGCTTTCTCCTCCCCTTTACAGCTTTGTGGTTCCATAATGTGACTTCTGAAGAGTTTGGAGTCGGAGTCAATGTTTTTTGGAAACACCTTCCTCCTATATGCTATGATAAAACAGACACTTATGGAAACAAAGATCTTGCTGCAGCCTCAAAAGCAGCACAGATTTTGGACAGAGCGCTAAAAACCCTGGAAGAGCTACCTGAAGAATACAGAGATTTCTATGGTCGGAGAATGGTTTTACGCATCCAAGAAAAAATGTATAGTGCTAACTATGAATAACAAGCATTTTCAATCTGAACAGACTTCTTCTTGCGGAACTATAGACACTGCACATCAATGCTTTTTATATTAAACATATAAGAATGTTTATTGTTGACCAGTTCACTCTTCATGTGTGTTGCTTGGACTTTGTTCTGATTTAATACACTACTTAAGCTGGACTAGTATTGAAAAGGCCCAGAGTGCTTACTTGAAATGTAAATTCCTTAGGGGAAGATGTGAAGATTAAAAGGAGAAATGATAGAATCATTAAAACCTAATAAAGTTACATTTGTAGATAATAAATTACAGCTGCGCCGTTTTAGGCACTCTGTACTGAGTTGAGTTTGTCTCCTTTCCTCCTCAGAGAAGAGTCATTCCTCAGTGTTACAGCAGATGCTTTGTAAGCAAAAGTCCCAGGTTCAAGCCCAAGCATTTCCAGGCAGAACTGGAGATATTCCTGTCAGACGCCATGTAGCATTGCTGCCAGTAGTGTTTGACCCATGGTCCAATTCATTATAAAACTACCTCTGACATTCTCACACATGATCTCTTTTGTTCCCCTCTCCCAGGAATAGCCTCCTGGAACTCAGCAACAACTACAGAACCTTTGCACCCTGGCCTGCACTCCTCATTTTGAACATCTGTCCCATCTCCTTTCTAGTCAAATCGGGATCCTTTTGATCCCCTGTTGATCAAAGGACAAAGGTGGTTTGCTTTTGTTCACTGACTGTGTAAAGTAGCAAGGATTTGAGTTTTGTGTGGAGTAGAGCTGTGGGTTCAGTGCTGGTACTGAGCAAGCACTGATAGGCACCTCTGTTTATCACAAGCAAACCTAGGTGGGGGAAAGAGTAATGAAAAAGGTTATACAATTTAAGGAAGAGAGGAAGGCCAGGGATCAGTTTCTAAAGATAGAGGAACATTGCACATACTCAGACATACTGCTCCTTAATTTTTTAAGAGTGAAGCAGTAGGCTGCATTTCCCTAGCCAAGAGTGGTGATTTTCTCATTTTTTCCAAAGCCATCTGTGTTCCACAGTTCTCATGCTCAATATTTTACACACTTGTTCTCCTACATAAGATATTTAGGATATGCAGGCATCTCTGCTACTATCTACAATCTGTCTAACAGAGCTAGGCTTAGTACTTGCTTTCTTACAAATCCTTCTTTAAAGGTTGCTCCCTAACTCAAATAACCTTCCATAATGTCTGTATGAAGGCCTAAGTAACTATATGGCCTAATTTATAGTATATTCAAATAAGGCAGTTTTTAATAGTCCAACAATTGGAATATGTGTATTGAAGCATGGCCAAAAATTACTGGGGTTTGGATTCTATTACCTATCATTCTGGGTTAAAGGATTTTTTTCATGTAATGGAGGAACAATACAATCAAGTGTGCAACTACAGCATAATAGTGTATTTAGGCTGAGCTTGAAACCTGGAATCAGATATTAGCAGGTCATTCTAATGCTGCATGACTCTTAAGGTCTTAATCATCTTTAATCCACTAAGGTCATAGTGCTGATCTTGTACTCCTGTTTTATGTCTTCCGTGTTTTACTGTTTGAACAGTTCCCAAATTATATTTAAGATTACCTAAACACTGTTACCTCCTGTGACTATTAATTCCTCAAGACATTAGAATTTTGCATGTTTTACTTAGTTATGGTTACTGAAACACAGCTCGGTGTCATTGCAAGCTCACTGACACACAAAAATGAATCCCTATCATTTTTAGTTCAAAATATAGTTCAAAACAGCAAACTGTACAGAGAAAATAATTGCTAGCCTTTTTTTTAGAAATTGTTGGGTAGGAATTCATAAAGTCCTATAAGTAGTTTCTGTGGCAATGGTAATGCTTCCACAAGAGGTTATGTAGTTGTTTAAGTATCTATAGATTTATTTCTACCTTATCTATGCAACACTCGCCAAAAAGGTAGAGAATAGCCCAACAGCTTTTCTTGGTTTTTTATTAAAAACATTACACTGTTGTGTAAAGCCAGATGGGATCATATTACAGCAGCTATTAAAAGAAGTACCTATTTGTTTTCAAGTACAATTCAAGGTGCTAGTCCTTTAAATACCGTATTTTTCGCTCTGTAAGACGCACTTTCCCCCCCTCAAAAGGGGAAATGTCTGTGCGTCTTACAGAGCGAATGTGTGTGTGCCCGACGCCCGGGACGCTGCCGGCCCGCCTGCACCATGTGGTACCACCTGGCCAGCATGCGCTCGGCACGCCCTGCTCCGCCCCCCTCCTCCGGCGCAGGTGAGAGCTGTTAATCACAGGTCGGTGTGTGTTTTCAAATGACAACCCATCTTTTAATGAAGCCCATGGGGAAGTGATGGGGAATGTGCCTGTGATCATCAGGAAGCTTTCTATGGATCAGTTATCTGTTAGTTGATCAGACACATTTTTTTAGGATCAGTGGATATTTGAACAGCATTGCCTTCATGTATGAAGTTTATTCTTCAAAGGCTACTTAGTCCACTGTGTGTTTGATTTACCATACAATATCTCATTTTTTGTCAGAAGTTTTTTTCTATTATTTACTAGTAGGGCAGTGTGGACTGGCTTTTTTAGATTTGTTATTGAATTGTCTGCAGCAGCTCTTGTATAACTGATGCAGATTGTGGATTCCTTCAATAATGCCACTACTGACTAAGAAAGTGATGTCAGTGATTGTGAGCAACAGAGTTTCATAAATTTTGACTAGTGATGATGAGTTCTATGGGTTCAACGAAAACTAGAAGAGTACTTGAACTTTAAAGTCTTTCTTTTGTTAATGACAGTGATGATGGTCCTTAATGCCACTGTTGACTGCTGTTCACTTTACAAGGTTGAAATATGGTATTATTGTATTCTGTTATAGTTTATTGAACAGTTTAGTAAATGTTCAGAATATTTTTTTCTTGTTTTCCTCCTCTAAAAACTAGGTGTGTCTTATGGTCAGGTGCATCTTATAGAGCGAAAAATACGGTAGTTGGGACTCAAATACTTGAAGGAACCTCTTTATACCAACCTCCTTATAAAAATCTTAAGAGTCTTTTTTTCTGGTCCCTTTGCCAGAGTAAGTGTGTTAGGTACAACCAATGAAGAGGGTCTTCTCAGTGTTGGCATCCCCTCACTGGAATGCCTTCCCCCACAGAAAGTCAGTACAAGCCAGAGTGCAAGCCAGTGCCCACCAGCTGTTTGGATCTATTATCCTGACCAATGGTCAGTAATCCTGAATTGTATTGATATACCTGGAGGGCGTGAGGTCAGGGAACATTGCTATAGTTCAACTGGCAACTGTATTACTACCCCTGCAGCAGATTAAAAACTTGCCAAGATTTTTTTAAAAACTAAAATTTAAAGGTGGTCTATATAGTCTGCTCTACTTCTATTCCTCTGGTTGGTTGTTTTATTTTGTTCTATCATATTTGTGGGATTTTTCATTTTTTCAGTGCCTCTTGCATACCTCTCTGCTATCTATTAGGATGAAGGGCAGCTTAATTATTTTTTTTAATCAAGCAGTTCCTCACTCCAGTTGGTGTAATAACGTTTAATAGATGCGTATCTTAAACATTTTTCAATGAGGAAATGTTTTAAGATGACTTGTAACAGGCAGCCCAAAAAATGCCCAAGGTAGATTAACAGTCCTTGAACAGAACTCAAATCAGTGCGAGAGAAGTAACATATCTATGTAGCAGATGCTGCAAAGTATTCCAGGGAACTGGCCAGCCCTGGAATAATAGGGTGCATTTTAGATAATTGCCAGATCAAAAAAGCTTTTCACAGCCACTTTGTTCAACCTATTACTTTCCAGTGAAGTACTTAAGGATGCAGCTTGTCAGCAGCTCTGGACTTATCTAATGTGGCATGCCGTACTAATGAAGGTACTATTGCCAAGGTAAAAAGGGGTTTGGGAAGAACCTAGGTCTCGCAACACTAAAGAAAGCCTCTTTTGTCAAGAAGCAGTAACTAAGAGAAAATAGGGTTATATCACATGAATGGGTAACAATACTCTTCCAATAAATAGAAAACATGGATGTCTTTATATACATTAGCATTTTTCCCATGAGGATAATAGTCCAATGCTTAATTTTGCATTAGGGAAATTGAGAGAACCACCCTGTCTAGGGTTACAGGAGAAATCTGTTTGCATTTCAATGCAAAACCAAAGTAATTCACATTTCCGAAACAAATATTTGAATCAGACTGCAATTATCCTTTGGTTTCCACATTGTGACTGATAATTATGCAGAAGCACTTGCATATCGGGGAAGTGTTCCCAAAAATGCACACAAATTTTCATGCACACTTTTTGTAACAATTTTGCAAACACGTACAGAAATAGGACAGAATGAATTTGGACATCAAACAATTTCAAAAGTTATAGAAAGATTTGTCTATCAGTAGTTCTGATAAAGCAGTACTTAAATGTCATATGCTAAACATATGCCTATCCATTAGAACACCAAATAACTGGTTGGAACAAACAGAAGTGCTGCTGCGCCACAATTTGCAATTATCTGTTTTTTCAGACTCCGAACACTTAGAGATTACTTTTACCAGTTTGACAAATCTCAAAACAGTTTATTGTGGAACTATAATGTTTTATCTACAGTCACAGCCTCTTCCATATTACATAGTCAGCATGTGTCTTATATAGTATAATGAAATGAGGTATAAGTTCTGGATTCCTCCAGTTAACTGAAGAAATCAAACTACAGCTAGTTTACCTTTAATCTTGGGGGGAGGGGGAGAAAGTCATGTTAAAAGAACCATTTCAAACATGTCAACACCTATGGCAGGGAAAAAAAACAGTGCTTATTCATAAAGGCAGCTTTCAAAGGCAAGAAGCAGTTTCATTTACCACACTGAAAAAAAATATAGAAAACCCACAACTTTACACTCTGAAAAAATGATTGCACTTCATCCAGTGTTGCACAATTCCCCTTCCCCATCCTCTCCCCCCACTGGAAACCCCATAATCTGCTTTTGGGAGTCTCCCAACCTTCCAGAACACATTTGGATGGTCAGGGAACTGCAGGAGGTGGGGAGAGAATCTGCTGTGCTGGCGATCCCATTCCATCAGTGGATGGACAAAACTGGATTCCATCTGTTCCTAGGAATATAAAAGGTACTTTCCCACACAACAAAACTAACCCATTCTTTTCACCAACTTTTAACTTTTGTTTTCAGCTCAATAGTGGGACTGCTAAATGTGTCTCAAGATTGATACTTAAAGCACCCCAAATAGGGCTGTTTTAATTATTTTGTAAAGTGAGTGCTGAAAACTGAAGTGCAAAAACTTTGCTTACTCCTGACATGCAGTTCAAAGTGCTACAGAAATACCTGACTGGAATGTGCAAATGGCAAGAATGCTGCTAATATTCAATAATGTGTGCTACTATTCTGGCCACAGAGAGAAAGAATTTATGCACACTTGTACCCAGACAAGTTGGCACCAGTTATTTTTATGCATGCACCCCGAAATAAAGTGAATAGGCAAGAGGGGTCAGTGCGCAAGCTCTCAAATGCCAACAAGGAACAATTGGATTAAGACAGAAGAATAGCAGCTGCCTAACATATGATACTTGACTAAGAAAGTATGAGATTTACTTTCCCCAACTCCCTCTAAAGCACTGGAAGTGAATACTGTATCTATCATGCTCAAAAATAGTATAGTCCATTCATAGGGTTATAAACAGCAAGTGCTTCTGTTCTTCCAAGCTGGAATACCCTGTTTTCACTGATTATCCCTAATCATTTAAGCATCTCATCCCCTCTGAACAGGAAAATCTCCTGATGTGCTTCTCCAGGAGTTGAGGGTAACCAAATGAGATATGGTATAAAGAGATTCAATAGGTAGAACAAATTGGTGAAAACTGGATTATGCAAGCAGAAACATTTTCTACTTTAGGCAAAGCCACCATTATCGAATATTGAATACAGCCCATAATTTTGAATCTTACAAAAGTCTTGCTCTTGATAGTGACTCCAGTTCACTATCCCTCTACATCTTACCAATATTTTTCAAATATATTTTCTGAAAACAGAATCCTGAACATGTTTAGAAACTATGTTCTCATAATTCCATTGTCATACAATATAGTGCTGTGGAAATTCTGAGCACAATTTATAAAGGTATTCTACAATCATATTACTGATTGTAGTTTTAGTGGAAGTTCCAAATAGTTTCTTAACCAAACAGACGGCAAGGTGGTTGAACCTGCAATAGTCTCATATTCTCAGAGGCTGCTGAACTCTTCATGTTCCTCTGTTACCAAAATCATAATTGCTGCATTATGAACTTTTCCAAATACTTAGGTAACTAATGTAATTCCGAAGCTCATCTTAACATATAGTATTACTATCCTGTAGACACCTTTGGCTTAATTTTCAACAAATGCTATTTGTTACATGTGATACAAAGGGTCTAACAGTCTCAAATTATAAAAGTTCAAAAATGTATTAAGAGTCTCAAGCGTCAGTATCAGGGAATGTTAACAAGAAGAAAGATTATACATTCTTGATTACATAAAAAAGACACATTTAAAACTCTCAAGTCTCCTAAAATGTTTTCACTAATAGATGTTCAGCAATGGTTAGAAACAGCTGAGCACCCTTGATGCAACAGTATGGTAGTTATGCACCTTATTCTCAAAGAAACTAATCTACATTTAGTCACACTGAGATCTTAGAATGTATCAAAATAACCAGCTTACTGCATTGCTTGTGCTATGTCAAAGTGCTAAAAAACAGTGTTGTCAATGCAATCTAAAGTTTCTTATCCCATGATTCTTGAGTTACCATTTCTAAATAAAATGGAGGGATCATTCAGAAATACTTGAGGCCTGTTTTTTTTAGTTACCAGAAACACTTTAGAATGCTTTGATGTGAACATTTCAGCCACAAAAATCAAGGCAAAGCAAACATTAGGCAAATTTTCCATCTTGCTTAAAAGAAGCTTTGTATGAACTGGTGTTGCTTTACCTCAAGAATCTTAGTCTCTAAGAAAGCAAAAACATTTACCTTTAAAGTAATGGATTTCTCATGGCTTTTCAGCTGCAAAAGCAATTAAAGACTGGGATTTAACCAAGGTTTGTCATAAAAAGCAAACATTAGCACAGCTTATAGTATTTCCCCTACTAGAACTTAGGAAAATGCACATTCTCAAACAGTTAAGTCTAACCTTCAGATGCATTTCTGTAGTTAATACAGTATGGATAAGTTCACAATGTTAGAATACTTCATGAACTCTGAAGTGGTTGTCTAGTGAAGGTGCTTCATCAGCAAAATGAAGCTGACTATTTACATTCATGCCAAGTTCCTCAAGAATTTGTACAAATCTCTTGTGCTCTTTTCCAATCCATGCCCTCATTGTATCAAATACCTGATACGGTGTGACATGAGCATTAACTGAAATCCCAGTCTGTGAAAAGTCTATAAGCACATCAGGGTAGGTCACCCAAGTATTACTTCCTCCAGAATGTCCACCATCCAGCCAGTAAATGGCCTTTATGTTTTTTATGAAGGCATTGATGTCCCTGTCCTTTTTGGCTTCCTTCAATTCATAAAGTAATTGATTTAAGACAACACAACCTTTACTGAACCCTATCAAAGTGAATGACACTCCACCAATAACATTAGGCTCAATAAAGCTCATTGCAGAATTGCTTAGGTGTTCACAATCTAGCTCCCTTTCTGCTGCTGGACATCCGTTTGTAGTAGCAACAGTAGGTAAATCACAACCAACTGCCTTTGCGTCCATGCTAAAATTGTACATGGTCTTCTGAGATAGCAAAATGTTTTGCACAAGTTTAAATGCATTAACAAGTAATGCATGAAGGTGTTTGAAGGCTCCAAAGTCAGTGCTGTGTTCAGGTGCTCCAAACATATTGCTTGCCACAAAATTGTCATAGCAGCTGAATTTGTGCAAATGCATACGAGAACTTTTTATAACCCATATGTAACTGCCTGGGAAACGACGCCCGAGAATAGCAGCAACGTTTTCTAAGCACCATCGTTCCCACTGGAAATTTTCTGGATGGCAAACCATAATTTCACGGTAATTCTGAAATAAGACAACAGATAAAGGACATTATTTTATAGCAAATGGCTGGAAAAATGAGCAAGCCATGTGCACTTCTAAAATAGCTGGTTATTAGTTAAGGAAGGAAGGATTTTATTATTATAAATAAGGCATATACTTAAACAGAGAACTGGACTGCGCAGCATAAAATAAGGCATTGTACATTTCAACTGAAGGGGTATGAACATGTGTATATACATACCAAATACATTTTTAGTATTTGGTTTTCAGTTCCTTTCTTAATAAATTAGGATGCCAAGGATTTCTTTTGGATAGTACCATTTCCAGTTGATGTATAATGAAGTTGGAACCTTGTACTTAGAAGAAGAATTTATTTATTTAAAATTTTTATATGCCGTCCCTTATGCATGGCATCTTGGATGGCTCACAATTAGTAAAATCAAACACATTAAAACAAACATGACCTAACTTGTGGCGATAATAGGAATTCCAAAACTAGATCTCTCTCTCTCTCTTAGTAAATAGTGGATATTTGAGATTGGAATGCCAGATACAGTTTGTATCTATGTGGAGTGTGGGGAATTAAACCTTTCTCCCAGAGAACCAGTGATAATCATCCTCCACCAAAACTGCTATTTATTAAAATCTAAGGAAAGAGGGAACCAATGGTGGACCACCACTGTTTAATCTGCTTAGATCCTTTGGTGGCAATCATACACACATTTAGGAGAAAGACTCCGGAACTGGACTGCATACAATTATAAGGCACAAGATGGATGGATATATATATATATATATAGAAACTCAAGGATTATGAACAATATTGTTATTATTACTTCATTATAAAGTTTTCAGATTTTTTTTAAAAAGCTAGGCAAATTAATGGATTGTAGGTATATCAGCAAATATGATAGTTTAATGCAATTAGTTGAACAGGAATTGGCCAACATCATTATGCTCTACTGATCAATATCCCAGGGAGTCTTTGGCTGGCCAATGTTAGAAACAAATCACTGAACAAGATAAAGTCCAGTCAGATGCAGCAAGTGACAATAAAAGCAGATTGACATAATTGGACATACTCCTCCTCTCTTTGGAGTTAGTTAAATGTATTTAGCAGTCTGAAGTCTTCACTTTTTCTGCTTTTGAAATCCTAGTACACCCCCTCCCTTCCATGAGTGCAGTTTAAATAATGTCACACTTCCTCTGATAGCAACTTCTGCTGAGCAAAATATAGGGCATGTTTAACTTTTTCCTCTCCATTTCAAGCAAGGGGCATGAATGAGCATTTTCACTTTGACTTGTCATTTGATGAAGCCGAAACTTCACTAATCTCTCCCCAACTATTACAGGTACAAAGGACCTTAGAACAATGACCTCATCTTCCACTACAGTTTAATTTTGTGAACTAGAATTTAAATACTGTTGGTTTCAATTGGCTTAAGCATGCTTAACTGTGTTGCACTGTAGCTATACCATTAAGTAAGTCACTTCCCACCCCATAATTTCATGCTCCTTCCACAAATGAAGAGTAATGGGTAAAGGACACTAAAGTAAGTAAATATTTCCAAGTGTTCCATAAGCAACATGGAGAACAGCAACACAGAGAACAGTCTATGAGCCACATCTGTGCTTGCACCTGCATTTCTATTAATATTCTGCACATGATACCTTGCACAAAATGGCAAACAGTACTATGCTTGAGAGAATGCAGACAAAAGCTATACATCTAATAAATCAAAAGGTAAAAAAAGTCTTTCTTTTTTAAACTTTCCAGCACACAGCGAACCTATAAAGTGACAGAATAGTAGAGCTAGAATTTAGAGAAAAATGCTATGTCAGTCAAGGCCTAAATGGAGACTATGGCTTCTTCCAGCCATAGTGTTCCACTTTTGATTTGAAGACTGCATTTTTCAAAGGAAGATTGTCCCTTCGAAAGCCTGAAGAAATGCACCAAAAACACAAGCTTGTAGCTTCAAAATTCCATTCTATTTCTGCCTGCTAAAGAAAGCTGATGCTCGTTAAAAATACACAAACAAACCTAAGCCCCACAGGAGTATCTTTCAGGGATCTACTCATAAGAGACTCTCACTGATTAACAGGCCTTACTCTCAGGTACGTGCCCACAGGATTGGGACCTTAAAAAGATACACCGTTTCTCGGGCAGCCCGATCCTTTGGCACGTTTCCTCGGAAGTAAGCACCGCTTCATCGCGGCGTTCAGAAAACATCCGCAGCTCCGAAAGGAAGCTTCCTCTCTGGCAGGCTTCTGGGGGCTCATTCTCGTACCTGCACGTCCCCGGGGAAGTAGATGACATGCTGCTGGGGCAACCCCAGTAACGGGGCAGAAGAGGGCGGAGACGGCAGCAGCAGCAACACGTCGTTGGTTTTGGAGGGCTCGGCGCCGGGCACCTCAGGCAACCGCAGCCACGGCAGGCTCGGCGGCGAGAACGAAGAAGAGGAGGCGCCGCCGCTGCCGCCCGACGGCCCCGCCAAGCAGGCAGCCGGAGCCCCACGCAGACTCATAGCCCGCCCCAGGCAGAGAAAAGCGGAGCCGACGAGTCCCCTCAAAACCGAGGCGACAGGTGAGCAACGCCTGCTCATGGAGGCTCCGCCGCGCTCTCCTGCCTCTCCGCCCTCGGCGCCCGCGCGCTCTGCCAGGCCTCCAACGGCTCGCTTAGCGCATAACGCAAGCCAACCAACGGGCCCGCTCCGCACACACCTCCGAAGCAGCGCGCGGCCGACTGCGCATGCGCCCACTGAGCGGGGCGGGGCTTCCTCCGTAGGGGTGGGGCGAGGAAGGAGAGGGGGGCCGGAAGGCGTTTCCTCCTGTTATTGGCCGTGCTGCGTTCTCACCGACAGTTGGATGCAAGAGGGAAGGCGGGAAGCTCAACGAGGAAAACGGGAAAGGAACGCTGGATAAGCGCATGCGCCCTGCTCTACTTTAGAACGCTCTAAAATGACCGTGACCGTGCCTCATTTTCGTTCCTTGGCGATAAAGAATGGCATGTTTTATGCAGTTTTTTTAAAGGCGTTTACAGTAACTTAATCTTAAGGATAATGCGGTGGGAAGCAAGCATGTACACCGGGGACAGGAGTTGGGGGTTTGAATGGAAACCCTGGAAATGTAAACTTTGCCTGGAAAATTGAAAGGCAGCAGTTCTCACTCTAGCAGACCCGGGAATTAGCTTGGGGACTCTGGGTGGCTTCGCATGGGAGGAGAAGCCACCATAGGTGGATTTTCCTATGAAAATTGTTGCTGTGGCACTGGCTGCTATTTTGAATATTCAGAGTGTGGCAGGGCTTGCTGTAGTCTCTTTTTACCTGTGAACCTAGTGAGGATAGGTTATTGGAGTGGTCTTCAAGGCCATCAGTTCTGCCTGGCTTGTCAGCTACCCCAACAACCCTCCCTCACTAGATTCACATTCACACGCACATATAATGAGAGTATGCTAATGGCAGGTTGGATTGGCAACCTGACATTCAGAGTGGCAACAACCCATGCTGCTTAAACAGCCACAGTGGGCTTCAGTGCTTGTGTGAACCAGTGTTACGTATTGCAATAGGTAAGCCAATAGTGCTCCCCAGCCCCAGCAAGTACATTCTCGCTGCCACTGCTGCATGCTGCTATTTCTCCTTACCCTTGTCATCATGGGTGTACAGACAGCTAGTGAGCAAGTTGGCAATGGCATCTGTTGCTGCTCTTCATCAGAGCAAGAGGCAGGCAAACAAGCAGGTTGTGATGGAGAACAGGAACAACCTTAGGGGCCTGTTTCAATGGCCCTTGCTTGGATGTGAAATTTTGACCAACCCTTGACATTTGTCGCAACTTGCCCCTTTCACATCCCCACTCATGCACCAAATCAGTAACAGACCAATATATTTATTTATTAGATTTATATCCTGCTTTTTTTCTTACAAATTCAAAGTGGCTTACATCATTCTCCTACTGCTCTCAGTCTTATCCCCACAACAACCTGTGAGGTAGGTAGGGCTGAGAGCCTGTGACTCACCCAGCTGAGTCCCACTCCTGGGCTCTTAACCACTGCACTGGCTTTCCAGTGTTAAAATCAATGACAAACTATTACTATTATTACACTTTTATGCCACCTCATAGCCCATTGGGTTCTCTGGGTGGTTTGAAGGTTTAATAATATTCATAGGAACAACTAAATAACCATATTTGGAAAGCAAAAATTGACAACCAAGAGTCCCAGTCCTGAATGGTGCCGAAACGGTGGCCGTTGGACACCAAATGGGTAATGCCCTTTGGTGCTTTGGTCCCATATGCCAAGCTCCTAAAAAATGGTTCCGTGATGCTTGGTGTTCACTAACAAGTGGTTCTGTTTCCTGTTGTTTTTTGTTTTCCCCCAGAACATGGTGGGAACACATTTACATGTAAGAATTTATGGCCAAAAGGGCCTTCATGCAATTTGCATACCTGTCCTGCATCTTCTTTACAGGAGACGATGACTGTGTTCACACAACATGACAAACAAGCCTGCATGGGTCCCTCTCTCACTCATTACAAATGGTTCAGATAGATGTGTCTGAATCGGAGGAGGAGGTGATGGAGGAGCAAGGCGGGAAGAAGACTTTGAAGTTTCAATGTTACCTAGGGAATTTCTCAGGCAAAGCATGAGAACTGGCCTTTTTTGGAAGGGGCGGAAGGGTTTTCAGAAAGGGAGAGAGAGCAAATGTAAGACTCAGTCCTTGACTCAGCAAGACAAATGTCTCCCCATCCTGGTTAGTTGCCTCAGAAATGCCAACTGCTTCAATAGGAGTGGTTTGTCACCTCTTTTACACAGGTACCAGGCATACCTTGTTTTAATGCGCTTCACTTAATTGTGCTCTTTACAAATTGAAGGTTTGGGGCAGCCCTGCCTCACCACCTCTCTCCCTCTCTTTGGGCCCCTCTATTCCCCGAGACACAACAATATTGAAATTAAGCCAATTAATAACCCTGCAATGGCCTCCAACTGTTCAAGTGAAAGAAAGAGTTACACGCCTCTCACTTTAAACCAACCTAGAAATGATTAAGCTTAGAGAGGAAGGCATGTTGAAAGCTAAGACAGGCTGATAGCTATGCGCTGGGAAACTAAAAAAATTGTGCGACTCTATTGCAGTATTCACTTTATTGTGGTGGCCTGAAACAGAACCCACAATATATCTGGGGTATGCCTGCATATTGCACTGCCATTAGGGAGTGAATCTAACTTCTAAGCAAGCAGAGCATCATTTCTTCTAAGAGCAAACTCAAGTGAGTGGATGCTGAATTATGCAGCCAAAATGGGGCTTTTGAGAAATAAGGGAAAATAACTGAATGCCTGGGGAAACCTGAGAGTTAGCAGAAGCACAATTCTTTACAGAGTGGGCATATACCCCCTGCCCCCAGAACAGCTCAGTTTAAAAAAAATAGTTGCATACAGAACAGTGTCCACTGGTGAGTTAAAATGGGCAGGGGTGACTGTGAAATGAAATGGAGTATCCTGGAGGGCATGACTGGTTAAAATGATGATCAAGACCACTCCTGCTAGGAGATGAAGATATGCTGCAACAATTTGTTGCACCTCCCTGTTGTTCCTCTCAAGTTTCACTCCTCTTCTGGATCCCTCCAAGACCACTGTGTTTGCCTGTTGCAATGCTTGTGTTTTGTCACTGTCTGTCCAATGTTTTGTTCTGTGGGTGCAACACTAATAGCGACCATGCCTAACTGGTATAAGCTGGCTAGAATTTTACCGTTAGTTTTTAATATGAAAAAACAATGCATTTGCAGCAAATATTCTAGTGGAATTTCTAAATACAGAATGATCTCTGGTCACCACAAGATGGTGCTGTGCATTCTAGCTTGGATTATAAATTCACATATTTTGTATTTTACCATCTGATTATTACAACTTCATCTATTAGTATTTCAGTGGTAGTATAAACCAGAAAGTTCTTTCTTTTGACGTTTTTTATGAGACTGATTTAAGCAGTACAACTGGGAAACTTTTTTAAAAATAGAGGAGGCTACAGTTCTTTAAAACTCTTTCAAGTTTTCTAGTTGAGCTCCTTAAATGTCTCACAATAAATAAAGGAAGAATGAGCTGTGAAAGAAGATCATGAAAGCAGCACTGACTCTAGAAAACCCTGGGAAAAGGGAGGCAGTCAGTCTGGTGATGTTCACAAATAGCAAAGAGTACATCTGTGTGAGGGAAGGATCTTTTTATTGAAGATTGAAGGTTTTTCATTGTAGCCTTAAAAGCACAATTTCCCTTGTGTAAACAGATAGGTTTTATTTCCATATACTGCTACTGTATTATTTTTATTATTTCCAAAAAGAGAGAAAATTGTGTCATTGCTTGCAAGTACACAGCCCTGGAATCTCCTTTCAGTCCCAATCAAAGGCTGCAATCCAATACCCATTTATCTTGCAGAAGACCATTTTGAAGTCAGTGGTCTTTCTTCTGACTCTGGTCTGCCTTATGCCACAGCCACCATATAATTCTGAGCCTCAGCTGTATCCCTGTTCAACAGAGTTTGGAAACTGAGGGAAATTTCCTCTTAACCGTGCAGAACATGGATGTTTCTCAGGACTCTAGAAGCAGCCAGTGGCCTAGTTTTAAGCCAAATATTTTTTGGGTGCTCCTCCTTGGTAGAGGGAGGTCTTCTTTGTTGTGGCCCCCTACCTTTAGAATACTCTTACTAATCAGGCTTGTGGTGTGCTTATTTTTATTTCTCTCAGACCCCATGTTCCTATTTTTTCAGGCTTTTAAACATTGAAGAATGGGATACAAACACACACACCACACACGGCAATTTTTCATCATATTAAGAAATGCTTTGAACCAGTACTTTGCTGACCTGTGATAAAGATGGCAATATTCCCCCCTCCCCTTTTCAGGATTCCATACACACACTTCCATTCTGATAAACATAAAACGAGTTGAGAAAATAGCATTCCTATCTATGTGGAAGGCATTCCAATAGAGAAAACTCAATGAGTATTGTTAAGTCAGAAAAACCAAGTTTAAATGAAACGTGCAGTTTTTCCTTTAGGAAATTATAGAAAAAATATTGCGCTTAAGGAACTTTTAACTTTAGTTGATTTGGGGGCAGGGGAAAGGCTAGGACATAATATAGTGCCTTCTCCCTTTATATAGATTTGCTAGTACATAGGTCCAAACGATTTTTTCAGAAAGACACTTGAAAGGGTGAGATACTTAATGGACGCTCCTGCCGATAGGTCCTTTATCAACGGAAAACGTGAAACTGAAAGCAGAACGGTTTTGAAGTGTTAAGGATACTGTGCCGGTAAGTCAGTGAAAAGCAACCCTCTCTTGTTTTACTGGTTGTATCCAAAGAAAATAAAAATCACAGACCGTTCGTAAACCCTCTCTCCTCCGCAGAGGAAGAAGAGCAGAGCAAGCAGCTAGCTCTCGAATTGCAGGCTTTTCCCCGGGCGAAACCGCCACGCCGCTTAAATCGCAGCGCGAGCCCCACTGGCGCGCACGACAAGCTACCACGCGGCCCGGCGAGACGCTCGCCGAAACTCCCGCCCTCCTCGCCCGGCGGCGGCGCCGCCGCGCAAACGCGGGCACACGTCTCCCCCCCCCCCCCGCCCCGGAAGAGGCGTCGGGAAAGGCAAGCGGCCGGATCGGGTGCGGGCGACCGAGAGGGAAGGGCTCGCGTGCAGCCCGCTTGCGTGCGGAAGGGAGCGACGTGGGGCCCGTTTTGCAGCGAGGGTGTCGCGCCTGCCTGATCCGGCCGCGTTCAAAAGCAGGGGGACGAGCTGCGTGCTGGTAATGGCAAAGCCCCTCCGCCGCCCCAGCCGCCAGGCTCTTCGCTAACGTTAGAGTCTGGCTTGGGGCATGCGGTTCTCCCTTCTAGTCTTGGGATTTGCGTGATAGGCCTTTGGTCTCCCCTGTGGGTTTGCTGTATAAGATTACTCAGTAACCTCTGCCCCAAGCAAATACATGCTTTATAAATCCGCTTGGTTTTTTTCTCTATTCTGAACTCAGTGCAGATACGAGCAAACATGTATTCAAAACACTGGAAAATATTGGTAGTGCAAAGACGCACAGCTCATTTGGAAGTAAGACCATGCACTGAGCTCATTGGGACTATCATCTTAAGTGGGTTTTAGGATTGCAACCTAAATATGGCGTGTGACCTATAACAGTGTACCTAACAACATTGGGCTTGCTAGGCAAAACTTCATCATGCAGATCATAACAAGTATACTTTAGCTTGAAGCTCTCATGACCAGTAACCAAGCCTTCAGAGAGGCCTCTCAACCTTCTGGAAGAGGGAAGGGGTGCACAAAAGCCAGGAAATCACCAAATGTTTGGTGGTTGGAAAAGGGAGTTGGGCCAGAGAAAGTGCTGTGGGGTCTGGGGAGCCCTGAAAGGTCAGATTTAGCCCATGGGCCTGAGGTTTTACACACTACAGCTCTAGAAAGTGGCTCCAATCCAGGCTCCCTAGAGAGCACTGAGGCAGGCATTTGCATCCACACAGGACCAGTGTATGCTGTGCTGTACAAAGGTAATGTGGATGTTGATCTGAAAATGACGTGTGCAGCAATTTTGCTTTGTACTGAGGACTCTTGTGAAATATCTGGAAGCAGCCGCCTTGTGTGGAGAGAGCAAGGCCTGCATGAATCCTCCAGGATTAGCCCTGCCATGAAGTAGAGCGAGGCTTCGGGGTGTCATAGAATAGCCGCAGGTTCTTAGTTATTTTCTTTGTTATTATTGTGTTTCTGCCACAGAGGATGGGAAAAAGTACTTATGGGAGCCTCAGCCTCCTATAACACCAGGGGCAAGGTATACTTAGGCCAGCTCTAGACTCTGCTCTTGAAGGGTGTTACGGAGGCTGTGTCTGTTCTGTGGAATTAGGGAGGACTCCTTACATTGGGAGTGTGTAACCTTCCAGATGTTGGAGTGCAACTCACATAAGCTCAAGCTGGTACAGCCAGTGGTGAAGAATATGGGGAAGCTGCAGTCCACCAACAAAGCCACATGTTCTCTGTTGCTGCCTGCCTGCCTGCCTGCCTTTCTTTCTCTCTTTCTTTTTGCAGGCATGAACATGGCTTCAGGTGGAATAGGAGTCCGTTTGGCTGCCTGTTTGCTAAATATTTCAGAAGGAAGAAGAAGGAGTATTGTTGAGAAAGTAGCAAAAGCTGCTGTTTGTGCAAATAATGGTAAGAATTGCATAGAAATTACCGGCATATGCATGATCCAGACAAATTTAAGCAGCCCAATTCTGTTCCTGTATTCTTGGAGGTATATTGAGTGCCTGCTGAGACACAGGCAGAACCTTCTCTGTAGTAGCACCCAAGATGTGAAATTACCTCCCCTAAGGGATTGGTGTGATCAATATATGGATTGGCTGAGCAGACAAATAGTTTTCCTACTGTCAAAACAGCTGGTCAATCTTGTGCAGATTTATTCTTGTTCTCATTTTATTATTGTGTATATGCTCAGGGTTCATCTAAGCTACATTGTATGGTGCCTTGAGGGTCATGGAATGAATGGATTGCCTATGGGAATATATGTGAGTAAGGCAGAGTGACTGCACATCTGGAACCACCCACAAATCCCAGGATCTGTTCTTTTTCTATTCCAGTATTGCGTGTGGATTGTAATCCTGAAATTCAGTTGGACTTACTCATGAATAGACAGGTGTAGGATTATGCTCTTAATGTCTCAAGAAGTGAGCTAAAAGCATGTCTGAAAGGTGAAAGTCAGAAGCTATTTCTGTATCATGAAGTGAATAGTTAGAAAAAATCAGGTGAACTTCTCTTTCTTGGCTCATCACAAACATATAGATATAAACAAAGGGAAACTGCAATAAAATATTGCAGTGTGGAATGTTTCTGTTCACTATTTTCTTCAGCCAGAAGCCAGCCTCAGCCTTCTGCCAGCGTACCTTTCCTCCACTGCCCTGGAATTCTTCTTCCTCTTCCCTATCCAAACAGTCCATCAATATTTTCTGGCCATTTGGTGTTCATTGAGTGGTTTTGGGGGTGCCTTGCCTTAGGGCTTCTTTTTCCTTTTCCTCTTCTCTTCTCTTCTCCCCTCCTCCTCCTCCTCCACTGCTCCTTCTCCTTCTTCCATTTCTTCCACCCTTGAGGTTCCTCCAGGCCTGTGGATACCTCCATTTTGGGAGTGTGGGTAGGGAGAAGCCATTGCTGTGTGACCTGTAGCAGTGATGCCTGAAGGCTGGAAACAGGGAATGGTTTCTCCCAGTGCAGGGTTGTTTAAATGGGGCAGTCCTGAGTAAGATAAGTCAGACTATTTGCCTATGCAACACAGTATAGCTTGTTCTGACAGGAAGCAGATCTTGGAGAAAAAAAACTCTGCTTGAAGCCCAGATCTGCACCTGTTATCATTTTGATCTGGTGCTAATCTACGCCTTTAGCATGTCTATAATATGTAGGGCACAAAGTGTCATCTCTTGAGGGATTTCAAAGCATTTGAACTTGGACTGCAAGTCATGCTCAGTACTTCTACCAGAGCAATAGGGCAGGCATGGTTCCATCCCCACTCAATATGACCAGTGTGCCTTGGTTGTGACTCTTCTTTTAATGTTGCACCTGCTGCCTGTAGATGTATGAGAGTATTGGAGCAATTTGTCTGCTGTTGTCATCCAGTACTTGGCTGAATACTTTGTCGCTGAGTGCTGATAACTTAGACAACAGATGCTCTCAGGATATTGCCCATTACCACTAACTCATTGTTGTCACAGTGAATGTCTTTATGTGCTGGTGCATCTGGAGACAGCAAGTGAGGCTGGGCCAGGCTCATCCTGTTATACTAAAATGGTACCTTAGGATGTATTTAAACTTGGCCAGCCACGTTCCAACAAATGTCAGTAACTTCACAAACTGTATCGGGCATGTCAGAATGCAAGCGAGCCCTGGTGGAAGAACTTTTTTCTAAAGGTCTGGAATGATGAGTGGTAGGCAAAGGACTTCTGGACCACTTGCAGCACCCTGAGCGAGACAGCGGCTCAGCTGCACTACAGAGAAAACAATCCACGGTGTGCAAACCTGTATGTGTGGAAAGACAAGCAGTGGCTGCTGTCTGGATTCATCAAACTTACCCTGTGCATAATAAATTGGAAGCCTTTCCTTTCCTTGGTATCTGATTCACAAAGTTCTATTACATTTTTCTCCCTGTAGGCCAGGAGACTCCTCGAGCAACAGTTCTTAATATATTTTCTGACTATGACTATAACAGGTCCGTCATAACAATAGCAGCTCCAGTTGACCAGCTCAGTAAGTGTTCTTGAAACAAATGTATTGAATATGCTGACATACATAAGCAGTGCATGTTGCAAACTGCAAAAAAAGAGAATAAGGAGTTTTAACCTACCGTGAAGGAAAGTCTGTTGCAAAGTCAACCAGGACTCCAGTGAAAGGCAATTTAATAAGGGCGGCTTATTTTATATTGTATTTTTGTAATTTTAATTTAATGTTTATATTTATTGTAATTTATATTATAATTACTTTTAATTTATTGTTGTAAGCTGCCCCGAGGCTTCGGCGAATGGGGCGGCATAAAAATGTTTTAATAAATAAATAAATTTCATCGAAGTATGTGTTTCATCAGCGCTGTGCAGTTTGGTTCGATCCTGGTTAGATCCTAAACTGTTGCTATTGTTCCTCATTGGCTTGTCCAGACATCCCTTTTATAGGAAACATATGGCCCCCAAAGGTTGTTGGACACAGGCTCCCATCATCCCTAGTCAATATGGCTGGTAGCCAGGGATAATGGGAGTTATAGTCCAGCATCTGCAAGGCCATTGGCTCCCCATCCCTGATCTATATACCTTTTTGTCACCTGAGCACAACATGGCTTGTAAAAACAAGGTGGCAATAAACTGTTAAAAAGTTAAATACATAAGGACAATAGAAACATTCCTTAAAATCAACAACATTCAGTCAGATGATCAAGAGCAAGGAATAAACTCAGGAAGTTACCTCACCCTGAAGACAGGAACAGGAGGACTTTGATTCTCTTTCTGAAAATCACTGATTTCTTGGGGAAGAAACTCCATGCTTCAGCCAAAAAGGTTCATTCTTATCTATTGTCAGCCTAATCCCAACCAGACAAGGCCCCCGGAGTTGGGGAGAAACTCCTGCTTTAAAATTCTACAGATCCCTGTAAGATCTTAAATTGTGAGGAAGTTCACACAGAAACTACTTATCTTCCAGTAGGATCCTGCAGTCCACCAAGAGGAAGGGTTCAGTTGCAATATTGTTTTCTGGAAGGTAGCCATAAAACTGAGCAAAAAGGTGCTTCTCGGCACTTGTGCAGGCAAGGAGGCTTGCTTTTTCTGATCCAGAACTGGGGCTTGCACGCAAATCTAATTCTGCTTATTTTCCAAGCTGCCTTGCTTCCAGCAGCCTAATAGATAGGTGGGTAAGCTTTTTCTTGTCAGTATTCAACAGTTCAGACGCTGGGAGCCAGAAACCTATTCTGACTGACTGCAGATCACCTGGAGATGTGGCAGTAAATCCAGATCTACCTTCTGCCTGCCCTCTAAGAGATGAAATAACCTCTCAGAAACAATAGGATTGCACCATAACTTAATATAAAATCATACTAATTAAAAGTCAAGTGCCTTGAAGAAGTATTCACCCTTTTTGACTTTTCCATATTTATGTTTCCATTTATGTGTTACGGCCTATAACTGAAATGGATTTATATGACATTGTTACCACTTGATATGCACAAGACGCTCAAAGCTGTGAAGGTGCAAAATGTTTATTGTTGCACAAAAGTTAGGAAAACAAAAGAAACTGGCACTTGTTGGTTGCATAAGTATTCACCCCCCCCCCTTCTGCTACCTTGGGTAGTTGGAGCAGTTACAGCTGTGAGGCTTCTTGGGTAGGTCTCTGTTTTGATCCTCTGGATCCTGCGACATTTGCCCATTCTTCCTGACAAAATTGCTTCAGCTCCAGCAGGTTGGATTGGGAATGTGAGTGAATAGGAACTTTAAAGCTTTGCCACAGGTTCTCAGTCAGACCGAGGTCTGGGATGTGACCAAGCCATTCTGAAACATTCAGGTTCCTGTGTGGAAACCACTCCAGTGTTGCTTTGGCTGTGTGTTTAGGCTCACTTTCCTGCCCTGTCCCAAGTCCCTTGGACATAGAAACAAGTTTTCCTCTGGAATTGGCCTGTGTTTGGCTCTATCCACCTCATCCTCAATTCTAACCAGATCCCCAGTCTCTGCCAAGGAAATTACCCCCACAAGATAATGCTGCCCCCACCATGTTTCTCCATGGGGACGGGGTTCTCGGGGCACTGAGCACTGTTGGCTTTGCACCAAACGTAGCGTTTGCAGCAAGGCCAGAAAGTTAGGCCTTGCTCTCATTGGGCCAGGGGAGCTTTTCTCTAAAGTTTGCTGCCTCTCCCATGTGACCTGTTGAGAACTCCCAGCAGGCTTTGGTGTGGGTTTGCTTCCACAGTGGCTTTCCTTTTGCCCACCATTTATCAAGCCCAGTTTTGTGGAGAGGCCAGGTGAGGATTTCATGGATGGTTTCTCCTGTCTCGGCTGTGGAGCCCTAGAACCCTTCTGCCCTAGAACTGAAACACAATTACTCATTCACAAGAATGGTACCTCCAAGCCCAGCAGTGGAGATGGTTGTTGTGCATATAAGTGTGCGTATGTGTGGGGAATATTTTGCAAATTTGCCTTGATTCATTCCAAGGACAGTATAGTTTTGCTTTATAGAGGCTTTTTAAGAGACAACATTACAAATGCATTCACAACTGTGGGTCAGCCTTACAGTTGATGAAAATGTTTGTATTTGGCTTGACTTAAGAGGGAAGCATTATTTAGATTCCACATCCTTAAACATTAGCTTACTCGTCAAGAGCTTGCTTTTGTTTCCTGAGTAATTTGTTAAGTACTGTTATCACAACAGCCAAAATCCAGCAGTATGATGGAGGAACAGAATAGAAAATTCTCTTTTTGTGTTTTATCCCAGGAACATTCCGTGGAGATATTTATGAAGTAAATCAAAAGCAGATTTGCCAAAGTTAGCAGGAGTGTGTCAAGTGGCTGTAAATATTAACATGCTAGTGTTTAGTACTTCAGTAAAACATAAACCAGTAAAACATAAAAGAGTATGTGATTCAATAGCAGAGCTGGGCTATATTGTTACACATTTTCTAAAGTATGTTTGTAGAACATAACAGCCCTTCTTCAAGGAGGAGAGGCTTGTAAGAGTTGCAAGACCTTGACATTTCTTCCAGAATTAATGCCTATTGTAAATAAGAAAGATGGTCTATATTATCACTGTTGAGAAGTTGAAAAAATGTTATTCTCGATCCTTTGTGTGCATGTTTAATAAAGCATCCCTTTAGGGTGCAGTCCTATGTGTGTTTAGACAGGAAAAAAGACGCTGCAGCTCCCAGGATTCCACAGCCAGCATGGATTTTTTTTCTGTCTGAACACGCATAGGTTCCCCTCATGTGTTTTGCCAGGAGTGAATAAATGCTAGTTTTCCCTTTCAGGTTTAATGAGTAATTCATATTAGAATTTTTTCTCCTGTTTTGCTAGGCAACAGTGTTGTTGCAGCCTGTGTGGAAGCTTTTGCATCAATAGATATGGCGGCACATGTCGGAATCCATCCATGCCTGGGTGCAGTAGACTTGGTGCCCATTTACCCTCTGTCTGGTGTTGATGTGGAAGAGTGTGGAACGGTGGCTCGAGGTAAGCAGAAACAGAGCATGAGGTAGCTCCAAAGTCCCTGGTGTGGCCACTCATGAAAGTTGTCCCTGTTGTTGGAATGTAGTGGGGGAAGGTTGCAGTGATCCCAGAAAGGGTGAGCTGACTTCCTCTTGGGTGAGGCATTGGATAAGAGGCCTCTCCTCTCACCCCACCAGGGCTAGCAGGGACACAGCTGCCTTGCTTTTTGGGTAGCAGAGGTGCAGATTTCATCTCAGCATTCCCTCTGAGCTGAGCAGGGACCCTTCCAGTATTCAGGAAGAATCCGTTTTCCCAGCAGCAATTCTTTGTTCATTAAAACGACTTCAAGGAAAGGTTACAGCACCCAAGAGGGTTCAGCTTAGAGAAGATGTGAGTAAGGAGAGACAGGATGAAGGTGTCCAAAATTATGTGTGGCGTGGAAAAAGTGGACAGGGAGAATTTGGACTCATTTGGTGAAGCAGTTTGGTGGGGAACTTGGGGCCGATACCAGGAAGGGCTCCTTCACATTGTATGCAGCAGAACTATGGAATTCCCTTCCACAAGGTGTAGCACTGGCCACCAGCTTGGATAATAGCTTTGACTGGGCAGATCTCTGCAGGAGAAGGCTATCCATAGCTCCTAGTCCCCATGGCTCCTGTATCAGAGGCAGCATGCCCATGTACCCCGTTGCTGGGGAACATGGGCAGGAGGGAGTTTTCCACATCCGCAACCTTCTCTGGGTTTCCTGTGGGCTGCTGGTTGGCCACTGTGAGAATAGAAGGATGGGCTAGCGGGACCCTGGTCTGATCCAGTGGGCTCTTAGGTGCTTATGACTCTTAAGCTGCAGTCTTCCAAACATACTCGGGAGTCAATTCAGGTTTGTTTATTTGCATCTAGTCATCAGACCATCACAAAGCAAGAGTTTTAACAACGGGAACCACATATCTGTATAACAATAACAGAAGTTAGCATAAATAAAATTGACACAAACCCGTATTATATAAAAACAGATTTAAAATGCTGACCCTCCTTGGCAAAACAGAGCTTTCCTCCGTTAAAACTTCCTTGAGAGTAAATTGTCTTTGGTGTGGACTCACTTTTGCATAGATTTGCACTGTTGCTCACAAGCAGATGCTCTCTTTTTACACTGTGGATCTGAATAGTTACCACACGCAACATGCAAGTTGGCATTTGCAATAGGCTTAATTGTTTATCTTGTTCCCCCTTCATTTTTTAAAATTATAGTATTTTTATGCTGGTTCTCAGCCAAAAAGGCTCCCAGAGTGGCTGATACGTATTCAATTAAACAAGACAGTCTCTGCCTGCAGGCTTATAATCTAAAGAAATGACACATGAGGAAAAGGGGAGGGGGAGGGAAGAGGGATACACAGATCTCTCTCTGACTGGCGTAATATAGATCTGGATTGTTACTGTTCAGCTACAGTTGGTCGAACTGCACATGATCTTGTGAAATAAGTTGCCACGTTCCCTCCACACCCACAGCTGTGTGCCCCTCACAACTACATAGATATTTACAGATTTTTCTCAAACCAGCTGCTCTTTCAGGGTACCTATTCCCAACAATGAACATGTGGCTTTTGTATCAGTGAGCAGAAAATCTGATATTCCCTATAGAAGATTGAAATCAAGGCTTTCTATGCCATATTTCATGTCCAAGCCACATACATTTTGGGGAGAGGAGGCTTAAACAAGAAGCCTGCCCATAAGACTAGAGACATTTCTGATCAATCAGAATATACTTTTAAAAATGATGTTGTAATTAAGTTTAAATCACACATTTAGAGCCCTATTGAACTAGGGTGAATTTGTGGTATCTAAAAGGCTGATGCCGTGTCAAATTTTTAACAGTAGCTTAGTTTCAACTTCAGATGGAAAAGTTCTTTGCAAAGCATTTCCACAATAGTGTTCGGCATTCACATTGTTTGTTTTATTATTTATTTAAAGAACAAACTGCATTTTAGCGTAAATCTTTCCAAGGCAACAGGCAATCAGACCTAAACCACAGAACATAATAACAGAGTAAGAACAAATACAAAAACAATGATTAATTCAGAATTAACAAAACCAGAAGTACCATATCTGCAGTTGCCTGACTCAGTTTCAGGTGAGGGGAAGAAGGTGAGTCTTTTGGGCCCATCAGAAGATTCCTAATGAGGAGGGATGGGGAGATCTGTGGGGACCAAGAAGGCCCCATCGCTTGTGCCTGATCTCCGCAAGCCATGGCCTCTGAAGTTGATCCCAGAGTGCAGGCAGCTTAGCAAGGGTGAAGGTGATAAAGGCAGCAGGTGGGCAGCCTGCTCTCCTCCCAATGATTTGGACGGGAGTGCTGCATGGAGATCAAGAAGAGCAAGACTCCGTGAGCAGGAGTTGGCAGGAAGGGTTCATGGAGTCCAACACAGGTGTTTAGTACAGCTGTGGAAGCAGCGGGCATTCGCTGGGATTAATCGCTGCCGGAGACATTCAGGGTGGTGAGGGGCCTCAGTTCAGTGCCAGCTGCTGTGTGCTGTTTGCCTCACAGGAAGCCCTGTGCCAGCAGGGGCACCTGCCAGCTTCTCAGGGCCTGGTTCTGATGACTTGTGGTTGTTGTTAGTCACGAAGTCGTGTCCAACCCATCACGACCCCATGGAGAACATTCCTCCAGGCCTTCCTGTCCTCCACCATCCCCCGGAGTCCACTTAAGCTCACACCGACTGCTTCCGTGACTCCATCCAGCCACCTCCTCCTCTGCCGTCCCCTTCTTCTTTTGCCATCTGTTGTTCCCAGCATTAGGCTCTTCTCCAGGGAGTCCTTCCTTCTCATTAGGTGGTCAAAGTATTTGAGTTTCATCTTCAGTATCTGGCTTTCTAAAGAGCCATCAGGGTTGATCTCCTCTAGCACTGACTGGTTTGATCGTCTTGCAGTCCAAGGGACTTGCAGAAGTCTCCTCCAGCACCACAATTCAAAGGCCTCAATCCTTTGACGCTCAACCTTCCTTATGGTCCAGATTTCACAGCCATACATTGCAACTGGGAAAACCATAGCCTTGACTATATTCGCTTTTGTCGGCAGGGTGATGTCTCTGCTTTATAGAATCCGGTCTAGATTTGCCATAGCTTTCCTCCCCAGGAGCAAGTGTCTTTTAATATCTTGGCTGCAATCCCCAGTAACATACTGGAGACCTTGCGACCCGAGGGGCTCATCTTCCAGCGTCATATCTTTTTGCCTTTTGGTACTGTCCATGGGGTTTTCATGGCAAAGATACTGGAGTGGGTTGCCATTTCCTTCTCAGATGGCTACCTGTGTCCATATTTGGTCGTATTCACTGCATGCGGTTCTGCCTTTTGCACAGGCAGTTTTGCCTGTCCCTGATCATTCTTGAAACTAAGTTGAGATGTCTTTGGTTGGACCTGGCCCCCTGGGTGCTCCAAACTCCCACCTGCCCCATCCAGCATGTAGTCCAAAATATCACGAGGATACAGAATTGCTTGCTTCCCAGGTTTGGGGCTTCAAAAGCTGAGTCGTGATGCTTTCTACTTCTTCCTTACTTCAGATATTGCAAAGAGCTTAGCTGTGCGTGTCCCTGGATGCAGCATGTTTCTCTTTGGGCACGCTGACCTCCCCCAGAAGCGAAGTCTCGTTCAAAGGAGAAAACAGCTCAGATGGTTTGACGGTAAAGCAGCCAATGTTATCCCTGATGTGGGATCAGCACCTACCTTACGATATGGCTTGACAGGTATGGGATGCCCCTCTTTTTTCTTCTTTTCTGTTGTTTACACAGAGCTGCTGATGCACCTAGTTCCCTAGATGGTAAAGGCTCACCCCTGTGCCTGTTTAGAATGACGAAATTTGTAGGATTTCTTTCCATGTAGGCATGCCTAGGATTGTGCCCTAAGCAAGAAAGAGTGGTCTGTGCCCCAAGGAGCTTACATCTAAATATGAGCAATGGGAGGGCCCAGCAAAGAGAAAGAGCAGGAAGGAGACAAGCTAGAGGACCAAGAAACTCATATGAGATGGAAATGGTTGAAGCAGGAACATGCACTTGCAGCCCAGTTTTGTTTTCTCAGGAATGAATCCTACTGAGTTTGTTAGGGCTTCTACCCAAGCCTTAGATGCATTTCCAGGTGGGGATGGGAGTTGAAAGGTCTTTGAAAGGGGGGAAGAGGGGGCACAATATGGGAGTGATAAGCTGCAGCAACTAGAAATGTAGAATTTTCTAAGAAAGAGAAGAGGACCCATGAACAAAGGAATGGGCCTGCCTTGGGGTGATCAGCATTGTGTTGTGCATGTTGCCTATTGAAAACATTTGACATTTTCACAGCGTCCAATTTCCTCATTGGATGCTGTATGTACTGCATGCTCAGAGGCGTGACTCACGTCAGGTGTCGTAGGCCATCCTCCCACCAAAATTTTTGTGGCCCAGTGCTATCCTGGAATGTTTCGCTCACTCCAGCACCCTGATGGCCCCTGGTGGGCAACACTCTTCCATGGCCCATTCTTCATCCCTCTCAGTTAAGTCCCAAATTGCCGTTGGTTCCACACGCGCGCGCGCACACACACACACACACACAGAGCCCAGCACCAGTGGGGTTTCAGTGGGCATTCCAGCCCTGAAATGTTTCACTCCCCAAAATTCTGTTGAACATTTTCAGTTGGTGACTGTTAATAGTATCTCTGTTGTGGTCCACTGAATAAAGCTGAGTACATATTTAATCTAGGAAAAGAAATGCCAAGAGAACAGGAGCAAAAGTGCTGCTCAGGCTCCTCCCCCTCCACATTTTATTCTCATAACAACCCTCTAAGGTAGGTTAGGCTAAGAATCAGTGACTGGTCCAAAGTCAGCCAGTGAACTTAATGGCCAAGAAAGCTCTAGAACATGGGTCCTCAAACTACAGCCAACAGACCATATACGACCTGCCATGGTCATTTACCCAGCCTGCCTCAGAGCTTTTGGACCTGTTCAGAGAAATCGATCTCCGAGCAAGTCTGAAAGCTCTGAGGCGGCGCAGGCGTTCTCTGAAACACTTTCAGTTTCGGAGACTAGCAGAGAGCTGGCGCACATGCCAAATTGTAACAGCTCCCTTCAACTGCGAGTGTGCTGGCTCTTCCCTCTATTGCATGAATGCATTGGCTCTGAATACAGAGTGGGAATACGGAGCGGGAATACAGAAGAGAGGAGGACGGTGGGAAGAGAGAGACGAAGACACTAAAAAAAGATAGAAGGTAAGAAAAACATAAAATCTGTTTTTAACTATGGGAGCCATGTCCCCGGTCTGTGGGCCAAGCCACGGCCGCCTCGCTGAGCCTGGGGGCAGATGGGCTGAGGCGGAGCAGGAGCAGGGCTGTGGCTCCTGTACCTCCACCATGCCCTTCTCTGGGCAAGCCACTGCTGCCGCCAAGCAGCTGCCATACTTCTTCCCCTGCAGCAGGGAGAGGCAGGAAACACCCCTATTGGCCAGCCATGGCCCCGTCCCTCGCCTCCCCTCGCCTCTGAAAGCAGCCATTACCTCCCTCCTCACAGCCCTCTCCTGGCTGGGGGAGCTGCCCCGCTCTCACTCCTCTGGCCTCCCACTCCTGCTCCCACTCCCGGAGCCAGGCAAATGCCCACGAGGGGACCTTCCTCTGGCTTGGAAGCGGGGCGGCGGTGAGGAGCCGGGAAGGCCTTGCCCTCAAGCCCTCTTGGCTCCCCCTCATGTCATGCTCTTTCTTTTGGCGGATGGCACGGTGTCATCATGGGCTTCTGCTGCAGCCCGAGCAAGCGGAGCAAACATTTTAATGTTTTAATTATTTTTTTAATTTTAATTAATTTTAAAATTTATTTATATTTTAATTAATTTTAATGTGCAGTGTGCATAGGAATTCATTTATATTTTTTTCAAACTATAGTCCGACCCCCCAACAGTCTGAGGGATAGTGAACTGGCCTCTTGTTTAAAAAGTTTGAGGACCCTTGCTCTAGAACCTGGATCTTCCCAGGCCCAGTTCAACACTCTAATCAGTAGATCACAGAGTTTGTTGGTAGACTTCTCATGTTTTCAGTTTCATCTTTACTGATTCTTAGGCTGCAATTCTGTGCACACTTCCCTGGGAGTAAGCCACTTTAACTGAATCAGCTTGCTTCTGAGTAGTTATCCATAGGGTAGCACTTACAAATTTCCTGCATAAAAAGCAGCTTGTATTCTTCTGTTTAATAAAAAAAATTGTCATGTTTTTAAAAAAATCCTGTTACTTTAGACGTCATCCTGCCACAATAAACCTTAAACCAGATCTTAGTATCGTTCACAGTCATTACTCCCAGTGCTTTCACACACAGACTGCATTTGCTTTTGCAGAGAGAGAGAGAGAGAGAGAGAGAGAGAGAGAGAGAGAGAGAGAGAGAACAGACACCAGATGTTAATTAGTGATTTGTTTTTATTTTTCCTCTTCCTCAACAATCTGGCCTCAAGAGCTTGCATTATTTTCTGTTCACTGTAAAGGTCTTTGTTTCTATCCAGGACTTGGATTATAAACTATAACGATGATGAGTCAGAATTCCAAGCAAGAGAGGAGGAAAAAAACAAAGACCTTAGAGAAATATTAAACTTTCACACTCTGATATCAAAGAAGTAGAACCATTTGCAATGATTGGTATTCCTAAATGTGGCTTTCCTCCTCCTTTCTGTCACCTTGCTTATGAGCAGCAAGATACGAAAAAGGAGGGAGGACCTGAGTAACTAGGGCCCCACAAGTATCTTGTATTTATCTAATTTAATGCATTCCAATAATATCCCTTTTTTCCTGCAAATCATAATCATACATTGCCATAAGGGATCGCTCCTCTTCACAAGTAAGATTGAGATGCTTCTTTAAGATTATTTAGCTTAGGTTTTTAGAACACAAACTGATTTGTTTTTTATGCTTTCTCTACATTTCCTTCCTCTTCCCCCTGTAATCTTCGCACAGCTTCCTAATTTGGACCCTGGGGTTTAACTGCATACATTTGGCTGGGGAGTTAAGCTCGTAATTCCCACTCTGGGGCTGAAATTTAACCTGCAGCTTCTGGAATCCCTCTTGCTCAGGAGGCAAGGTGACTCAGCCAAGAGTGGCAGGTGTACTTTGGGGTATCACCAGTTGGCTCTGCCCTCACAGGAGCTTGGACAATCTCCACACGTGCCTGCATACAAGAAGCAGCCTATGTGTCTTCCCCAGGCATGAATGGGCAAACTAATCATGCTGTTGAGCTTGCAAAGTGCCCCATCTTCCCCATGCTTAAAAGGGCAATTGCTGCTTGGACCACAGAACTTGAACTCAGCTCTTCCACACAATTAAAAAAAACCCTACTATTTTATTATTACTTTTTTATTCTATTTCTATCCCATTTTTTTTTGCTTTCACAAGGTATCCCATGTAATCCTCTTCATTTTATCTTTGCAACAGGCCTGTAAGGTAAGTTGGGCTGAAAGTCTGTGGCTGGCCCTGTGAACTCCATGGCTGAGCAGGGGCTAAGCCTGGACAGACTGAGGCCCAGCCCTGCACCCCAACCACTGCAGCACACTGGCTCTAATGCTCTCCTCCCATGGAGACCCCCCCCCTGCCCCGGTTCTCGCTTCGCTGACAGACTGGATCATCTTGTATCCAGAGACCCCGTCGACAGCTTTTCAGTCAGCTCCGGCAAAGTAGATGCAGAAGCCTACTGACCTAATGTGGTGAATTTCTGCCCGCCCTGATGCTTGGCTTTCTGCTTATTGCAGGAGTTGGGGCCAGCCCGTATGTGATGAATTGCAATGTGACAATTGACACGCAGGATCTGGATGCAGGGAAGGCGATAGCAGGTTCGATCCGGGGAAGCACTCCTGGAGGCCTGAAGGGTGTGCAAGTAATGGCTTTCCCACACAAGGGGCATGTTGAAATTGCGTGTAATGTGGAAAGCTTTGGCAGGTGCGACAAGCCACTGAGGACTGATGAAGAGTCGGACTATGTCTCATACAGTGTCCTTGGGAAAACATACTATTATGTATCACCTCAGTTGATAGAGACCTCAGTTAAGACATTGGCCAGCAACCAGGGAATAAACATGGTAGGGACTGCGTTGGTTGGGTTTACGCCAGAGGAGTGCCTGCGCTGTGCTGCCCAGGCATTAGCCAGTGGTGTGGGGGAATTCTGGAAGATGAGGGGCGGTGTCTTCATGTGACAGCCTCCATGTTCATTTTCAGGATTGGTGCCTTCCTAATTCATAGGTAATTCTGAGCCTCTTCTGGGTGAAGTGACAAATGTGTGTGTTTAGGATTATAAAATCTTTATGAAGAGTACATGATCAAAGGTAATGCAGGCTGTAGAACAGAGGTGCAGAACTGCAGACCCGAGGGTCAAATCCAGTCCCCCCAGGGTCCCAGTCTGGCTTTCTTGGGCCCCCCAAAGGGCCATACCCCTTTCTCTGGCTCTGCTCCGTTTACCTTAACCACCAATCACTTGGTGGCTTTCCAGTGTTTACACAGCTCCTTTCACCCTACTGCATCCTGAAAGGCTTATATACATTCATGCAGAGCTTTCAGCTAAAATATGCTAGCATTTTTGGCCACAGCTTTTTGGCCCTTGGCCCTGTTCTCCTTTTCTCCATTCACAACCATAATGTGGCCCTCAAGAACTTCTTTGAAACGGAATTTGGTCTTGTGGCTGAAAGAGCATCTTTACCCCGTGGTTGATTCTAGGCTTTCTGCCCTGAGAAACTGCCTGTATTTAACACTTAAATGGGAGTCAAACCAGCACATAGAACAATTAAGATTAGAAAAAACTAAGAAAATGAAGAAACAAAAAAGAAAGTGGAAGAAAATTGAGACTTGGATGCATCTTCAGAAGCAGAAGATCAAAGTGGCTTATCAGACTTGTCAGATGAATGTGGAAATGATATGGAGCTGAATGAGACAAAAGGGGTAAAAGGAATGGAAAATAAATTGGCCTGTGAACTTCATAGAAATATTAAAAACCCTTTAGAACATTCCAGGAAAACCTTGCAAGCAGATCTGAAAAGAACTCTTTATTGTTGTTAGTTGCAAAGTCGTGTCCAACCCATCGCGACCCCATGGACAACATTCCTCCAGGCCTTCCTGTCCTCCACCATCCCCCGGAGTCCACTCAAGCTCACACCCACTGCCCCAGTGACTCCATCCAGCCACCTCAGCCTCTGCCGTCCCCTTCTTCTTTTGCCATCTGTTGTGCCCAGCATTAGGCTCTTCTCCAGGGAGTCCTTCCTTCTCATTAGGTGGTCAAAGTATTTGAGTTTCATCTTCAGTATCTGGCTTTCTAAAGAGCAGTCACGGTTGATCTCCTCTAGGACTGAAAGGTTTGATTGCCATGTGGTCCAAGGGACTTGCAGAAGTCTCCTCCAGCACCACAATTCAAAGGCCTCAATCCTTGATGCTCAGCCTTCCTTATGGTCCAGCTTTCAAAGCCATACGTTGCAACTGGGAAAACCATAGCCTTGACTATATTCGCTTTTGTCGGCAGGGTGATGTCTCTGCTTTATAGAATCTGGTCTAGATTTGCCATAGCTTTCCTCCCCAGGAGCAAGCGTCTTTTAATTTCTTGGCTGCAGTCCCCATCTGCAGTGATCTTGGAGCCCAGAAAAATAAAAACTGTCACTACCTCCATTTCTTCCCCGTCTATTTGCCAGAAAGTGAGAGGACCAGATGCCATGATCTTAGTTTTTTTAATGTTGAGTTTCAAGCCAACTTTTCTGCTCTCCTCCTTCACCCACATCAAGAGGCTCTTTAGTTCCTCTTCACTTTCTGCCATTAGAGTGGTATCATCTGCATTTCTGAGGTTGTTGATACTCCCAGCAATCTTAATTCCAACTGGTGATTCATCTAGCCCCGCCTTTCTCATGATGTTCTCTGCATATAAGTTAAATAGGCAGGGTGACAGTATATAGTCTTGCCAAACTCCTTTCTCAATTTTGAACCAATCAGTGGTTCTGTGTCCAGTTCTCACTGTTGCTTCTTGACTCGCATATAGGTTTCTCAAGAGACAAATAAGATGGTCTGATACTCCCATCTCTTTAAGAACTTGCCACAATTTGTTGTGATCCACACAGTCAAAGGCTTTGGCATATTCAAGGAAGCAGATGTTTTTCTGGAACTCCCCAGCTTTCTCCATGATCCAGCGTATGTTGGCAATTTGATCTCTAGTTCCGCTCCCTCTTTGAAATCCTGCCTGTACTTCTGGTAGTTCTTGGTCCAAATACTGCTGGAGCCTAACTTGTAGGATTTTGAGCATCACTTTGCTTGCATGTGAAATGAGTGCAATGGTGCGGTAGTTTGAACAATCTTTGAGATTGCCCTTCTTTGGAATTGGAATGTAAACTGACCTTTTCCAATCCTGCAGCCACTGTTGAGTTTTCCAAATTTGCTGGCATATTGAGTGTAGCACTTTTACTGCATCGTCTTTCAGGATTTTGAATAGCTTAGCTGGAATACTGTTGCCTCCACTAGCTTTGTTGTTGCTCAGACTTCCTAAGGCCCATTTGACTTCACATTCCAGGATGTCTTGCTCGAGGTCAGTGACCATCCCATCGTGGTTATCAGAAATGTTAACCTCTTTCTTGTATAGTTCTTCTGTGTAATCTTGCCACCTCTTCTTAATCTCTTCTGCCTCTGTTAGGTCCCTGCCACTTTGGTCCTTTATCATGCCCATCTTTGCATGAAACGTTCCCTTTATATCTCCAATTTTCTTGAAGAGAAAACAGCTCTAGCATCAATGAAAGAGCACCAGTGTTCAAAAAGGAGCATAAATATTACAGAAATAGGAAAGAAGCAAGTGAAGTCTTGGATTTGGCTCAGTACCAAGAGACTAAGGTTTATGAAATGCAGAAAGAAATCAACGAGTTATGAGATAAGTTGAAGGAGCAAGAAAATCACAATCACCATTTCAAGATATGCCTGAGAGGTTTTAAGGAGGAGGAAGGCAATGATGATTTGAAGGATAAAGTGGTGAAATGGATTCAAGATCTTTGTGCATGCCTAAGTACTACTTCAGAAGATCTGGAAAGAATTCACAGAGTGGGTCCTACACAAATACAAGACAACCATCGGATAAATATTGCGAGGTTTACTTGATAAACCATGAAATTAATCTACTGTGCACTGAGTAATGTGGATGATCTGCAGTATGCAGGAGATGGTGTGGAAGTTTCCCAAGATTTAGCAATTGAAACTCTTGGAAGACACCGACGGTGGAAGCTGTACACAGAAGCTTGCAGAAATCGGGCCGTAAAATATGTGAGGGAATTTCCCTTCACATTGCTTGTTTGGCTCATGTTTAAATAATCTAACTTCTACAGAGCGAAGGCACGATCTCCGGAAAGAGCTAAAGCATTGTGTGCCTGAGACTGATCCAAAGGAGATACAAAATAAAGAGAAGCTCCAAGAGAAGAGGAAGCAACAGCAAGGGAAGACAGCAGAAGGGAGAGGAGGATGTTGATGATACAGTGAATCTGATTCCACAGCTCCACTGCTTGCTTCAAGGACTCTGTGCTGTCATATCTCTGATAGAAGGCAGATGAGTAATTAGACTTTAACCATTGCATCTTGTGCTACATGATGTTTCTAATGGGAAGACTAGTTGATTATTAAGGTCTTGAACCATGTTGTTTCATAACTGGAATGGATTGCTATAACAGGGAAGGGTTGGGGAAGGAGAGTTTCAGCCCAGGAACAAGTGCTCTTGGCCTTTTGCTGGAGTTCATGATGGGATGGCTCTCTTGAGAAAGTTGGAGGCTGGCTGGCTGGCTGTATTTCCAGATGCTGGGCAAGTGGGGGGGCAGGGGGGATGGGGAGGGGAAGGTATTGCAGACAATCCTTTTTCATGGTTGCAGTACAGTCACTTATGAGACTGCTCTGAGAGGACTCAAAAATATTAATTCTAAATCTAATGTGTGAAATGTTAGACAGCTTAAACATAATCTCTCTCAATATGAGTGCATGGTCTCCAATCCCCAGTTTAGCAAACTGGGATAATGCAGCTTAAACATATAGGATGCTGATGTGTTACTGCTACAGGGGACTTACTATAGATTCCCCTGTAGCAATAGGTGCAGCATATTTAAAAGCATCCATTCTTACAGGATCAGTCCAGTGCCAATGGAATACCAAAATCAAGGGAGAAGTAACTGTAATTTTTATGAAGAATTCTAGATTTAAATTTGTTGATCAATTAAGTGACCCAGATGGTAGGTATGTGATGATGAAAGGTAAATTAGGAGAAATATTGTTAACCATTGGATCTTCTTGTGCACCAATATAGTTCAAGTTGAATTTTTGCAGGAATTGTTGGCTATGGTAAGGCAATTTACATGGGGAGGAATAATTTTAGGAGGGGCATCAATTGTGTTTTGAATATAAACATGGATACAACATCAAAATGAGAAGAATATCTATTGGAAGTGATAAGAATTGGGTGATTACTGGAAAAAATATGTAGTGGAAGGATGGAAATTTCTAAATCTTACAACTAGATATTACACTTTTTTGGAAATAAATGTTCAATCTACACAGGTATAGGTCATATTTATTTCAGTATCATTCATACCACTACTGTCTAGAATAGATTTGGCTCCTGTTTTGGTATCTGATCATGCTCCAATAAAAGTACAGTTGACTAACAGAAATCAAATAAATTCATGATCTAGAGGTTAAGCACTATTTTGCTTATGAATTCACATGCTACTGAATAATTAAAATTATAAATTCTTTGATGAAATGAATGATGCTGATGGAGCAAAGCCAGCATTACTATGGGAACACTCTTAAAGCATATTTGAGAGGGAAATTTGTATTGGCGGTATCAAGACTGAGGAAAGAGAAATAGGTTGCAGGAAAAGTTACTTGCTTAGAATAAATGTGCTAACAAAACACAAGAAATCTGGATTTTTTATTTTTTTTACTGAACTAAGTCAGTTAAAAGAGTTAGATACAAGAATTCAAACAGCAAAGATTTATTTAAGAGTATTACTATGAATATGTAAATAAAAATTCTAAGCTATTAGCTTAACTACTAAAAGAAGAAAGTTGCTATTAGGTCAGTCCATTTTATTAAAACAAAAGATGGTACAATGGCTGTCCTGAGACATTCTGTAGGAGATGGGATGGAAAAGCTTTAAATAAATAAATAGTAACTTTACAAGAAAAAGGTATCTAAAGTGTTTAAAGGTTATTATGAGTAATTGTATAAATCTGATGTAGCACCAGAAGTAGATACTAAATTTTTAAAAACGCATTATCAGTTATTCCAAGTTCAGAAGAACATAATGAATGTCTTAACTCTTCAGTGATATCTGGTAAAATAGAAACAGTTGTTACAATTTTAAAAGTAAGAACCCCAGGTTCTGATAATGTTACTGCTGATTTCTATAAGAAATGTGAGACTGAAATTGTTCCACATGATCCGAAAAGGTCCAGTCGAATACTAAATTGAGATAAAGTACCTGAATCTTGGAAGTAAGAATATTATTTATCGCAAAATCAAAAGTGATGTGGCTTCTATGTTTCAGCCATTTACTTTACAAAATGAAGACCAAAACCATTTTTTCATTATTTTAAACCAAAGATTGAATAACTGTATTACAAAAATTGTTACAGATCAAGATATGTTTATGCCAGGGAAAACATGCCAGATGCAATATGTCGAGTATTAAATATTTGGTATAAAACTAAATTGAAGAAAAAATAAAATGGCTGTACTTTCATGTGATGCACTTAAAGCATTTGATTATCTGGACTGGAAATATATATTTAATCTTATAAAAATGACAGATACGGGTGACAAAATCATAAAAATTATATGAAGTATTGATTAATGGGCTGGATTCTGAAAAAAATAACTGTGTAGAAGTATAAAGCAAGAAGATGGTTTCTTTCCCTTAAAAATTGTTACAGCTATAGAGCAGTTGAAGAAAATGAACTTCACTCTGTATTTGTGTTTATCCAAGTAAGTTTAATAAAGCGCACACACTGACAACTGCAGGACAGAGAATTGAAACTGACAGGGTATCCCCGAAAGCAACAAGTGTCTTTCCCCACAAAGAAAGTATTCCTTGGTTG